TAAAAAAAAAAAAAAATCATGTTAATGTGGAACTTGGACAAGAATTAGAATAATTTTCTGGTTACACCTACCTATTCTACTTTGATTTTAGTTTCTTGCTTAGTTTTTTCCATAGATGACAGCAAGAAGTTTTAGAGCAAATATAGCCTCTGCAAATAGAGATTGTTGGTACCCGTGAAACAAAAGTAATTTCTGGGTATTAACTGGGACTTGGCAAAAAATGAAAAATTGAGGTTTGATAAGTTTACCGCAAGGGTGCCATTTGGGGACTCCGTAGGCCAGCCTTCTGATTTAAACAAAACAGAACAAAGTCCTGTATCTTCCTCTACCTTTTTCATGCAGTTGTACCCCAGGCCTCTGTCCTGTGAAGATAAGGTTGGGGTACGAATGGGCGTGGTGGCCGCTTCGATGACAGCCAGTGCTGCTGTGGGAGGCACGAGTGGAGGTGATGGCTCCCCAGGTTTTCGGGCTGAGGAGGTGTGATGACAGCAGGGAGTGGGAGCTTTGTCGTCCTGTCCTTGACAGTAAATGCAGATGCACAGTAATGCATTAATGCGCTGACGGCGGCATTGAGGCGGGTTACAAAGTCCCTGGACGAAAACTAATTCCGCAGGATGCAGGGCACCCTCCAGATTCCCAAGTGCACTGCCGTAAACATGTTTTTAATTTTTTTTTTTTTATGTTTATTTCTGAGACAGAGACAGAGCATGAGCGGGAGAGGGGCATAGAGGGAGGGAGACACAGAATCAGAAGCAGGCTCCAGGCTCCTAGCTGTCCTCACAGAGTCCGACACGGGGCTCGAACTCACGGACCGCGAGATCATGACCTGAGCCAAAGTCGGTCGCTCAACCGACTAAGCCACCCAGGCGCCCCATGTAAACATGTTTTTAATCGTGAAGTGATTATAGACACAGGGAAGTTGCGAAAATAGGACTTTTGAGTACTTTTCACCTGTCTTCTCGGGTGAAGACATTTAGGTCTCTAATTCCTCATGGGACTGTCATCAGGCCAGGCCTTTCTGCCAGAGATGGGTTTCAAGTCTGCTCTACTTTTTTGTAGACCCCCCCCCCGCCCTTATCTTTTGGTATATAATGTAGTTTTTCAATTAATTCAATTGGTTATGAAGAGTTGGGAACCACAGGGCAACATTTTTATTCTCATGAAGTCTCCTAGCATATTTCAGAAACAAGTCTGTCCTAAGGATATGCCTTGAATGCGAGGCGGAATCTCACATGGAGTGTATAAATGCACGTGTGAGCTGAGCTCTGTGAGGCAGGATGGCTGCAGGCACTGGCTCCTGGCTGCTCCTTCTGCCTCTGAAGGAAGGGCTTGCCATCTTGCAGTCTCAGTGCCATGCAGAGTTCTGGTTGGTTCTGTTGCGTATTTAAGATCAACTTCGAATTTGGGCTGAAGTTTGGGATGGAGAAAGCATTTATGATACATTTCCATTTTGTCTATATAAAAATCTAATCCTACAATGGGTTGAATTGTTTCTGAAAACAAGTAAGTGAGTTACAAGAGAGGCAGGACTTTGTGAAGTTGAGCTCTTTAGGTCCCATGAGTGTGTGCCCTCTGGTGACTTTTATTTGGTTGATTGCAGTTCTTTGGTCTCCACAAAGAGCCCAGTTTTATTGTGCTCTGCCTTGCGAGGGGTATGTTAAACTTCAGAACATGGCATTTTACAAACCAGAGGCAAGGTCACTGTTCAGGGCGCACAGATCATGGGTACTGAAACCCACTGTGGTCATTTTGTAAAACACCTCAGATAAGATAAAACCACGTAATCTCAGCGAGCCTCAGTTTTCCTCATCTGTGAAGTGGGACTTCTAGAACCCCTGCCCTTGCCTACCTTGCAGGACTTAAGTGCTGCGTACGTGTGATTTGTGTCTTTGAAATAGTGGCCCACGTGTTTCCTGTGCCATTCCTAGACATTAGAACGCATTTCTTGCCTTTTGGTACTTTGGTCCCTCAGAGGGATTAGGGTCGTATCTGCCACCTCAAGAAGCTGGAGTAAATACTGCATCTCTCAGACGGACACCCCCCCTGTTCAGCCGCTCTTCCTCTCAGAGAGCCTCTGCGGTCTGCTGAGCAGGGTTGTGTGTAGCAGAACAATTGCGGATGAAGAGTGTGAAAAGAAGGTGTGAGTGCTAACTGTCGCATTTCCTCTTGGTTCTTATTTCTTTGGTAAAGAATACTACCCTCTCATGAGGATTGATGGACATGTTTTCTTAGGAACAAATTCAGACAGTCACAAACGCAAGCAGTCTCTGTACCCTGAGAAGTCTCTGTCCTGAGCGTTTGGTTGTCTTAGGAGACAGAAGGGTGAAGGAAGGCGGCATGTTGTTCTTCCGAACATGCCCTTCCCCGAGCCCGAGAGTCTCCTCTTGTGCGTCAGGAGCCTGGGGGGCAAGGATGGCAAAATAGCCCCCGCTGCCACACCAGAAAAAGCCTTCCACGCACCTTTGATTCTTGCATACGCCAGTGGTGGCTTTTCACATCGTGGCCCTCGTTCCCCTGCCAGTCTGTGAACTGTACCCCGTCTCCAACCAGATAGGCACTGAAAGTGAGAGAAAGCGTTTAGAAGCTTGTATGGCAACTTGACCTTGCTGTGGCAGCTTTCTGATGTCTCGTAAAAGTGCCGGTCAGTAAGGGTGGCGGGGCAGCCTTGGGAGGCTGCCACTCCCCAAGAGTTTGAGAAGCACCATATAGACAGCAGTTGGGGGCGGGGGGCCGCAGATGTCCTGTGAGCCTGAGTCACTTGTAAATGAACAGTCACCATGGGCAAAGGGTGGAATTCTAAAGTGTGACTTGTAATTGAAAGTCTGCTAAGAGGCACTCTACCAATATATTGCTTTCTATTGGAGGAAACCTTAGTTCTGTACATGGCCTTCATGTCTTGTTGAGTAAATTGAACAATTTTTACCATTCGTGTTGAGAAGAATACCGGTTTCTTTCTCTATAAATTATTCCCCCTAGGGAGTCCAGGCTGGTATTTCACAGAAACTGTGAACTGATGATGTTAACGTTTGTTTGGGGCTAACTTCTCAGCAGTGTTGTCTCTAGAACAGCGGGAATGACTGTTCTGCCCCCTCGGGGCCTGGTGAGCCTGCGGGTGCAATGCCCCCTCCCCTTCCTTTCTCCAGACTTGACTTGGCCTGAGTCCGCCCTCCGCTTTTCCTCCGCGCGCCCTGACCTTGAGCAGGTGTCCCACGGCCGCCCCGGGCCTTCTCTGCAGGGCCTGTCCACTCACCAGGGAGGACTTGGCAATTTCGGGGCTCGAGGGTAGAGTAGACGTTCTTACAGGCCCAGCTCTGGAATCTAGGAGGGCAGGCAGGGGTGTGTCGGTAGCCCTCTGGGATTTGGATTTCATTCACACACAAATGGCGTGTCCCCTCCCTCTTCTAGGTGCCATGCTCTCATTTTCCCAAGAGTTAGGCTCTAGCGGTTAGGTCGCAGTTGTGCGGACGGCTCCCCGACGTGGTTGGTTGTCCCGCGCGGGTCCCACGGTTGTCGGCTGTCAGGTGTGGTCTCACGACGCCCGAGCCCTGTGACTGACACGGCCTTTTCTTGCAGACACGAGTTGGCGCTCCGAGGCAACCTTTCAGTTCACTGTCGAGCGCTTCAGCAGACTGAGTGAGTCGGTCCTTAGCCCTCCGTGTTTTGTGCGAAATCTGCCGTGGAAGATTATGGTGATGCCACGCTTTTATCCAGACAGACCACACCAAAAAAGCGTAGGATTCTTTCTCCAGTGCAATGCTGAATCTGATTCCACGTAAGACAGTTTAAATGATGCCATTACGAACCCACAAATAGTTATGCTCCGTGATTGGAGGCTCAGTCTGATCGGCCTCTTTGAGTTTAAAACTTTTGCCTTTCCTTGCTGCCTCTACATAGCCCTCTGATTTTACATTAGATGAACTACATTTCTCTCTTTAAAACTCAATGGTAGGTATTCTCTCCAAGCTAGAAAAGGTGTATGTTTTTCTTGCAAACAAGACACTGAGGTTCAGGTATTAGAATCTGCCCGCCCAGGGAACACGGAATCAGGGTCCATCTGGACTAGCTGACTACTGGATTACCAGGTTTAATTATTCTACCAGTAAGTGCCTGAGGGGAAAACTGTAGCTAAGGAACATTCCTCAGGTCTGGAGGCCTCTCGGCATTGTTGTGTTAACCAGCTCCTGTGTGTTATTCAGAGAGTTTGGATTAAAACATCCTTTGAGGGTTTTACCACGTGGGCCTCCCCAGCTTATTTTAGAGAAACTGTTTTGTTCTTACAATTCTTAAAAAGAAATATGTAGTAAAATGTCTTCAAATTAGGAAAAGTGTTTATGGTCCCTTTATTCAGATGAAAACAAAGATCAGAGGCTTCACGTTTTCTACCTATTGATAGATCCTCAATAGCTTGATTCTTCCCTTAATTAAAAACTGTCACCGGTCAGCTTATGTCAGAAGCTTAGTTGACATTGTTTGAAAGGGTCCCAGATCACTTTGTTACTGTGTCCTTCTCCTCCCATATCGAGGAATCTGTGAGAAGGCTGCTTCCTTGGCCCACGTCTGTCCAGGCTCCCTGCCACCCCCAGATTGTGGCCCTTTAGACCTCTCAGTGAAGGCTGGTCCCCAGAGGGCCACAGGGACACTGGCCTTGGCTGCTCTGTCCAAGCTCCAGGGAACACAGTCCATTACATTTTTCTTTTTTACGTGGATGTTTAAGAAGTGCCAGGCCAATTCTGTGCTGCAGCCAGGGCCTGTATATAGGTTAAAATTTTCCTTCCTGTGTTCACATTCTGATCTGATTTCCGGTGAGTATTGAGGCTACATTTTAGCCTAACAGACAATTTGGGCCTGACAGTAGTTTGGGAACGCGGTGAGCCGTCCGTCCCTGGAGCAGGCAGCCTGGGCAGACAGGAGTGCCCATACTGGGCCTGCACTGCTGTCACTTCAGAGCTCTCTGGAAACTCTGCTGTGTGTGGCTCTGCTGTGGCTCCGAGCCCCCAGTGGCCCTTTAAAGGACTGCGTCCGTTCGGTTTTTGTGCACAGATCCAGAGGCTCTGTTGTGACCCGCCCCCAGCCTGACTGCAGCCCGGGCTGTGGCTGTGACTAGGCGCCCCTGCTCAGAGCTCCCGGGGGCTCCTGGAGGGGAGCTCTTGTGTTTTCACCCAACACCCAACCCAGATACCAGAACCACTGTCTGACCAGAAGCTAGTCTCTTACAGACTCTAAAGGCCAGTATCTAAAGTTCAGAAACTGTATTTTATTGATACCAATTAAAAAAAAACTGACCTAAAAAAAAACTTGTAAAAATTAAAACCATGGCTCGGGGCACCTGGGTGGCTCAGTCAGTAAACGTCCGACTCTTGATCTCAGCTCAGGTCTTGATCTCAGGGTCATGAGTTCAAGCCCTGCGTTGGGCTCTGTATTGAGCTCTGCGTTGAGCTCAATGCCTACTTAAAAAAACAGAACAAAACAAAAACAACCCATGGGTCAAATCAGTACAGTCCACACTGGGGGGGGGGGGGTTTCCTCGACCCCTTTTAAATTTTTTTTTTTTTTCAACGTTTATTTATTTTGGGGACAGAGAGAGACAGAGCATGAACGGGGGAGGGGCAGAGAGAGAGGGAGACACAGAATTGGAAACAGGCTCCAGGCTCTGAGCCATCAGCCCAGAGCCTGACGCGGGGCTCGAACTCACGGACCGTGAGATCGTGACCTGGCTGAAGTCGGACGCTTAACCGACTGCGCCACCCAGGCGCCCCTACCCCTTTTAGCTTCTTTCTTCATTAAAGGTAAATGTGTCCCCCCACTCCACCTCCCCAAACAGAAGGACGGGAAAAAATGTGGGAATTTTCACATGCTCTGTTTTGAAACAATGTGTAAACGTCAGTTAAGTGGGTCACCTGAGGCTTAGGTTCTCTTTGACCAGGTCGTGGTCTTGCCATGCACAAGCTGTGCTGAAGATAATAAATTACAGAGACGACGAGAAGTCCTTCAGTCGACGCATCAGCCACTTGTTCTTCCACAAAGAGAATGACTGGGGCTTCTCCAATTTCATGGCCTGGAGCGTAAGTAACCGTGCCATTACACTGACTGACCTGAGCAGCGTTCCTTCTTCATTCTGCAGATCCTTCTGTTCGCAGTGAGAATGTTTGCTCTATCAGGTGAACAGGTGTCTGTGAAAATGTGATCTCTCCAGTTTGCAAGCTGAGGTTTTGAAGCAGCCAGCAGACAGGGCTTGAGTCTCAGCTCTTTGTCGGACGTCTGTAAGGTAGTTCCTAGCTTTCCCAACAGGCCGAATCTCCTTTAAAAGGGGGCGCTTCCCTGAGCTAGGCCTGATTTCATGTACCCTCATCAGTTCCCCACTTAGTTTGAGAGAGAGAAAGAGTGTGCGAGTGCGCGAGCAAGGGACGGGGAGAAAGAGCGAAGGAGACGCAAAATCCGAAGCAGGCTCCGAGCTCCAAACTGTCAGCACAGAGCCCTCTGTGGGGCTCGAACTCACAAACCTTGAGATCGTGACCTGAGCTGAAGTCGGACGCTTAACCGACGGAGTCAGCCAGGTGTCCCTTGGCTGCTTTTTGCAGAAGTGGAAACCAGGGCAGGTTTTTAAGGGGGCATCCTGCTGGGCTCTCCAGGCCCTGCTCCTGTGAGCAGGTGCGCGTTCCTTCCAGCCTGTGCCCTGGCGAGGGGCTCCCCGGGACTTCCCAGATGCCTCCAAGAGGAACCATGCTTTTGCTGGTTTTGTTCAGAGGACACTATTTAAAACCAGTCAAAACACTGCAAAACCAGAAGCACGATTTGGGTGTTTGAAAAAGCAGTCTTTTCCTCTAACATGCAGAGGGTGTGAGGGTAATTGTCTCTTTGGAATGTAGCACGTGTCCGTGTGTTCTTATGCAAGTTGGATATTTTTATTTTTTATAGGAAGTGACTGATCCTGAGAAAGGATTTATAGATGATGACAAAGTTACTTTTGAAGTCTTTGTACAGGCGGATGCTCCCCATGGAGTTGCGTAAGTTTTTCTTTAATTGGGCGCTCTTAAGAAATACCTTTTGTGCTGTAGTGAAAGAAACATTAGCATATTAACAGTGCTTATATTTAACCGATAAGCACCCTCCCTGTGCTTGCCCCTAGGCACACACACCTTACCCAGCTTCACATTGACCCCTTCACTTGACACATGTATTGAGCATTTTCTGTATGCCAGACACTGCTGTGCACTAGGAGTGTAATTCTGGTCGGCCAGTTAGCCATGGGTTTCTGTCCCCAAGGAATACACAGACTGGTGGGGCCGTTGTGGCGGGGAGGGGGCAGTTCCTACCAGTTCTGGAAGTGGCAGGTATGATGGTGGAGGGGTGGCGGGC